TGCTGCCTCCGAGACAGGGCCTGGAACTCAGGAGACCGATTCCATGCCAGGACTGAGCAGAATAAAGCTCGTTCCACTGGAAACTGACACGGGGGGGGGGGGGCACAGTGGCAGAGCTGTGGACAGGCCCAGCCTGCCACCAAGTGCCTGTGTGACCCTGGGCACAGGACCCTCCTCCCAGCCTCAGTTCCCCGAGTTTTACAATGAAAGACTGGACCACAAAGTTCCAGAAAGTGCCACCTGCATTACTGGGGTAATGCAGAGGTAGTTTTCATGTGAGTCACCTACTGATTGAAACCATATTAAAAATGAGCATAAATGACACCTAAAACCTATTATGTCATGCATGTTATCACATGACAGACTAGGACACATGAGTAAGTAAACCAGAGAAAGGTACTGCAGAAAAAGTTAAGGAAGCGTAAGGATGGTGCAGAGATATGGCAAAGATGGGCGTCACTGGAGTTCAAACACCCGACCGGGACAATCCCAAAGGCTCGCTCTCCCTCATTCTATTCCAACCTCAAGGTGCAGCTCGGTAGCCTGGGTGGGGAGAAAGTCAAGGTTATGGACGCACACGATCTGAAGATTAGGTCTGTCACCCCCGCTGAGTCGTCAGAGAACAAAGTTGTTCGTATCAATATCCGTCACCTCTCTGACCACAGGCGGCCGGTCAGCGGGCCCGCGGGTCGCTGGGCTCTCGCTGACAGCTCGCTTCCTGCCTTCGTCGGGCCTTTGCCGACCCTGGTTGTGCTGCCTGAACAGCCCTTCTCCACGGGACCAACCAGAGCTTGGCGCCAGCTGCAGACTCATGTCCCCTCCACTGTGAACTTCCCCCGTATCTGCTCCCCAAACTAGAGAGCGGGTTTATCTCTAGTTCCTTTATGTCTTGGCTATTTTCTTTCTTTCTTTTCTTTTTTTGTTAATCCTCACTGGAGGATGTTTTTCCATTAATTTTTAGGGAGAGTAGAAGAGAGAGGGAAAGACAGAAACATCGATGTGAGAGAAACACATCGATTGGTTGCCTCCAGCACGAACCCTGACCAGGGCCCGGGCCGGTTGGGAACCTATAACCCAGGTACGTGCCCTTGACCGGAATTGAAACTGAGACCCTTTGGTCTGCAGGCTGACACTCCATCCACTGAGCCAAACTGGCTGGGGCTGCCTTTGCTATTTTCCAAGCAGACTCGTCTGAATGTCTAACACTTCATGATGCACAGTGCACACGTGTGAGCGCACGCCACAGAGAGAGAGGTTCTTTTAGACGGTGCATGCGATCCAGCCAGCCGCTCCCCTCTCCAGGGTCTGCCCTGCAGGGGGCTCGAGTGGGGAAGCAGGAACTGGCCCTCCCTCCCTGGGCTCCTGTGTGAGCACCAGCCTCCGGCCTCGCTGTGTGCAGTTCCAGCGTTCCTGCATGTTTTCATATGCTCTGACCCCCAGATGTGAGTCAGAAGTTTCATCTGATGCTTAACCAAACACACATCCTATGCCCAGAAAAACTAGCTGCGGGTTATTAAGAGGCGGTATAATGGTTATGGGCGAGGAGCAAAAATGTGTCCCAGTCCTGTGCTTTGCGGCCATTTAAAAGGCTATTCAGGGTAATCCTGCCTGGACGCGGTTTTCACCAGCAGCTCCGAGGCAGAGCCTGTGGCTGCTCCCGGCGCCGTGGCTCCTGCACCTGCCCGAGCCCCTGCGGTCGGTGGTGGCTGAGGGGTGGGGTCTAGCCAATGTGGGGAGTGAGGGGCGGAGGGCCATTCTGCAGGGTGCTCCAGGCCCCTCTTCCCTCCGCTCAGTGACTCAAGGCTCATTTTTAGGAGCGATGGGGCCCTCCAGGCCACATCAGAGCTGTGTGTGCGAGAAGGTGACAACATTTTTTGCGCCAGGCCTCGGACACTCTCAGGTCCTTGGTTCTGGGAGCAGATCCTAGCCTCTCCTGGCCCTACGAAGTCTAACTCTGTGGGACATGGGCCTGGAGCCCTCATCACCTGGTTCCCCTGGACAACTCCCTCCTCGGGGTCCTGGCTCTGCTTTCTCCTGCCCGGGCCTCTGAAGGGCTTCCCTGCCTGAGCGAGGCACACGGTTCTCCTGCACTCTCCAGGGAACCGCTAAGGTTTGGACTAATGAAGCACCTCGGCTCCAGGCACAGGCTCTGCCTGCCTCAGTTTCTACCCCTGCTCAGGTACAGGGTACTCTGGGAGGGGATCAGACTAAGCCCCGTGGTCCTAGCTGCCAGTCTCGCTCGGAGAGGTGAGCTCCACCACGCCCAGCAGCAAACCACTGAACCTGCGCTGGAGCCAGGCTGCCCGGTGTGCGTCCCAGGGCATGACCTTGGGCAGCTACTTCCTCCTTCCGCATCTGCTTCCCTGTCCGTGTGATGGGAAACAATCGTGCCCGACTCCCGGCTGAGCGGATCCGGGCTCGGCACCGACCAATAGCAGCTGAACCTCTTCCACATGCTGGGCGTGTGCTGGGTGCTTGGCACCCAAGGTGACAGCAGTGCCCATCAATCTGCGTGACTCAGAGCCTTCTCCTCCCCCGACGCTACCTTGCCTTAGCTCAGGTCTCCCTCTCCACAGCCCAGAGGCAGAGGCCTGAGGAGCCCTGCCTGGAAATGAGGAAACTGCGGTCAAACAGGGTTGAATGACAGGTCGTTTGTATCTGGTGGAGCTGAGCCGAGCCCAGGTCTACCTGCTTCAGTTCCCCGTAGCCCACCTGCTTCTGCCCCTCCTCCCTGCTCCTTCTTCTTGGCATCACCAGTGGTGGCAGAATACCCTCTCCGGGGATACCCTACTGGAGGGCATGCCCTGGAAGGTCTCGCGGGTGAGAGCCCACGTGGCCTCGTGGCCTCTCCGTGGCACCTACTTTGCTGTGGGCGCAGATGGCCGAGCCCAGGAGCTTCCAGGTGCCGCCCCTGCGGTCCATCCGCAGCATGCGCAGGATCTGCAGGAAGCGCAGGCTCCGCAGCGACGTGGCCAGGACATTGCCCTGGTTGCCCACGGCGACCACGGGCACAGAGGCAATCAGCACGAAGATGTCTGGGAGAGAGCACAGACAAAGGGCCGGTGACCAGAGCTGTCGGGGCTACAACGAAGCCACCACAGGCCCTGTCTGCCAGCACCGGGCGAGTGCCAAGCCCTGCCTGTGAAATCGTGAATCAACCACACATGGGAAGTGGAATCAGTCTCCCGGGACAGAACATGGGACATACTAGAAAGGTGTAGTTGAAGCCACATTTTCCTGACAAAAGGAGAATCTACTGGAATGGAGAGGAGGAACAGAATGGCTGAACTCAAAATATCTGGAGAGAGTCAGAGGAGTTAAGATGAATAAACTCCTTGATAGGTAGTGAGCGCCCCACGACTGGAAGTATGCAAGCAATCTGCATACAGTTGAAGGCTGCTGCGAAGGGGACTGGAACATCAGACAGGAGGGCATGTGGACCAAAGGCCTTTGGCTGGCCCTTCAGCCCCGATGTTCTATAATCCTGACACTTTAACCATCCCTGGGATTCTATGTTCTACGTCCCCTAGCCATCACTGTGGGCAGACTTTGTCTTGTCGCGCTATGATTTTAGTAGGATGTTCAGATGGGACATATGGGTCTATGCTGCACCAGGAGGGGAGAATGACAGCTCCCATCTTCTCTGCTATCAGGATGCCTGCACCCGAATGAAGGGCCCAGGGACACCTCCTCAGAGCCACTCTTGGGTCAAGACAGAGCAACATGGTGGTGGTGGGGGCGGGGAGGGGCATAGGTGCTAGGATCATCCAGACCTGGGTGTTAGGAATATACTGTGTGACTGGAACATGACTCAGCTCTGTGAGCCTCAGTCCCCACCTCTGGAAAATGGGCACAACAGGGTCCGATAGAAACAATTCTCAGCCTGCAGTGGTGTCTCTCCTCCCACCCCACCCCCATCAGTCCAGATATGCAGGGATGACTGGGTGCTACGATCTAGGGACCGAGATGCTCAACAGCCTGCAAGGGGCTGGCTCCTTCCAAGTCCAAATGCCGAGAGTGCCCCCATGTCCAGGAAGAATCACTGCTCTGTGGAATCATGAGGAGGAGGCACAGAGGGAAATTCAGCAGCCAGAGGAGCTTATGGAGGTGGCGGGGGGGCAGGCTGGGCTGGCCTCAGCAGAGCCCAGGCATCCCCAGGAGAAGAGTGTGGGAAGGGGACTTGGCCGGGTGGCTCGGGGTGGGCTTACCCAACATGCACAGGGGCTTCCTGGCAAACTTCAGCCGCCCCCGCCAGCCTTTGTAGCGGCAGCAGCAGCCAGCGGCCCAGATCCTCAGAGCAAACTCGGCTCCAAAGACGAAAATTGCAAACGTTTCCTGTGTTGAAGAAATAAGCGGAGACACGGATTGACCAGGGCCCAGGCCTCGGGAACCCGCGGTGGCTGCAGCGGTCGCTGCTCTGTGGTGGAGGGGAGGGAACGGGTCCTCCCCTCCGCTGGACAGCTCCTGCCTTCATTCCCTTGGGCTCGGGGTCCCGAACACTCAAGCTTGCAAAGTGATTACTTGTTCTTTTTTCTTTTTTAAAAATATTTTTATTGATTTCAGAGAGAAAGGGAGAGGGAAAAAGAGAAACATCATCAACTGCCTCCTACACGCCCCCTACTGGGGATCGAGGCTGCAACCCGGGCATATGCCCTGCCTGGAAATCGAACCAGCGACCTCTTGGTTCATAGGTCGAAGCTCAACCACTGAGCCATGCCTGCCGGGCCTTTTTCTATATTTCTGCTCCAATGGATTGTTTTTTAAATCCCTCTAATGTGTTCAATGCCCCTAATAAGTGCAGCTGTGTTGAAAAGAGAGGGCCTTGGTTTTGCTAACTGTGCCAGTGTCACTGGGCCTGCTCCTGGGCCAGGCACCAGCCAGACAGGGTTCCGTAATATTATCTTCATTTTACACTTTGAAAAACCAAGGCAAGGAATAGGGAGGCATATTTCTCAAGGCTACGCAGTGGCAAAGAAAGCAGCCCAGGCTAGGAACCTGGCTTGGAGCCCATGTCGTAAGCCCCATGCCACCTCCTGGGTCACTGGGTGGGCCCCGTCTCTCCTGCACCTCCCTTTGATCAGATAGGACAGCTCTGCCTCCCTCTCTCTTTGGTGGTCTCCGGGGGCCCTGGGGAGCGGCTGCTCCATGGTGACCCCAGAAACCTAGTCCCTGGAATGAGCCGGTCACCCAGGATCCACCCGCTCAGGTCTCAGCTCGGGGTGCGTGGATCGTAAACACCTGTTCTCAGAAGGAATCTATGGCCTCGGAGCCAAGGATGGCAAGTGAGTGCCAGGCAAAGCTGCTCTTTTGTGAACCCTAATTGGGGGACTGGCACCCGCTCCCGGAAGAGGTGGGCTGAGTCCGCATCCAGCAAGGGTGTGGTCACCCCAAGGGCCAGGGCCCTTTTGGGGCCTCTGCCGGGAGCAGAGGAGGCTGCTCCCAGCCCATCGGCATGGCTGCCCACCTGTTATTTGCACGTATTTCAGGCCAGGACGTGAGGAAACCTAGTCAGGGCCATTAGGCAACTTGCCGAAGAACGCTAGGCCCCTCTCTCTGTACCACACCCTGATGGGGAAAACGGGCAGAGGCCGTGGGGGAGGTAAGCTTATGCGGGAACGGGGTTTAGTACTTGGCCTTGAGCGGAGTTAGAGACCCTCAGGCCTTAGGAAGGAAAGCAGAGGCAGGGTTCGGAATGGACTATGCCTCTGTGCTAACTTCAGGGGACTGGGAGCTGTAGCTTAGAATGTAATGGTGCATTGGTTATATCTGATCTAGAATAACAAATGGCACTCCCCACTCCACCCGTGCCCCTGGCAGACCTGACTGTGTGATCTGGGCACTGCTTTCTCATGGGTCTGGGCTTGGCCAGAGACCCCAGGAAGCCCAAACCAACTGGGCACAACTGCACCCAAGGGCAGCCTCCTGGCCTTGGCCATGAAAATCCAACCAGAAACGCAGCGCTGTGGTGGGTCGGTGATCTCACCAGCAGCAGAAGCCAGTCCCCCGAGACGGTCTCGTACTCCTTGAACGTGGTCAGCACGGCCAGGATCAAGCAGCCCAGGACGATCAGGAACCTGGGAGGGAAAGAAGACGGAGTCTGAGGCAGCGCCGAGTCCCGGCTGCTCCGAGGCTGGATGGGGAAAGGTGACAGACAGTGGGATGGACGCCACAACCTCCATCGGGCATGGACACGTGTCGTGATATTCCGTTTAACCTCGTAACAAACTGCAAGGCGGGTAAGGTTAATATTCCAGTTAAAGAAGGCAAGGCTGTGCATACTTCTGCTTTACTAGCTCGTTAGTGGCATCGGTTAGTTAGCTGGAACTCGCACTAGATCACCTGGTCCCAACCCTGGGGGCTGCAGAACCCCCGAAGACCAAATGTCTTCACACGCTTTAGTAAACCATCAGCAGGCTAATTTTTAAAAAACGTATTTTTGTTGATTTCAGAGAGGAAGGGAGAGGAGAGCGAGATAGAAACATCAATGATGAGAGAGAACCATTGATCGGCTGCCTCCTGCACTTCCCACACTGGGGATCAAGCCCGCAAGCCGGGCATATGCCCTGACCGGGAATCAAACCATGACCTCCTGGTTCATAGGTGGACGCTCAACCACTGAGCCACACCAGCGGGGCCAGCAGGCTAATTTTTAAGTTGATAATTTTGCATGGCCTGCGAATGATGTTGTAAATATCCAAATGGCCTTGGTCAGAAGAAAGATTTCCCACTCCTCATCTATATCGACAAAGTCTGCCCCGGACCAGGACAGCTCTGGGAAGCTGTTGACATGGGTGGATGAGAGAGGGTGAGGGCTGACTGGCAAGATGACAAGGGTCCCATGAGAGTGAACGAGGGTCTCGGAGGTCTTCGCAGGATCTGTGACGAATGGGGCGCAGAGGCTGAGCAAGAGGAGCAGCTGTGAGGTCTCGGGGGTGGGTGACAGGGTGGACAGTGCTGGTCACTGACATCAGGAGCATGCGCACAGAGCCGGCAGGACTGAAAGAAGAACCACGCCGTGGACCAGCCGAGTTTGAGGCCAAGTGGCAAGAGCCAGCAGGCTGACCGAAGTTCAAGTCTAAAGCTTAGGGCAGTGGTCGGGCCTGGGGACCTCAATCCCTTCCCCGCTAATAGTCTGGGACGGCAGAGCCAGCAGAGGCAACAATTCAGCCTTAACCAATCACCAAAGCGCAGGTTCAGCGGGTTCCTATCAGAGGGAGGGAGCAGAGCCGGGCTTTGGCCAGCGGGGGGCAGCAAACGCCAGGCCCCAGGCCAAGCTTTGCATTTCCTTGCCCATCAAGAAGGAAAAGCATCAGGGAGTCGCTTTCTGAGATTTGAGAACAATAATTTATTTATAAAGCAAAACGCATGCAGGAAGTTCCTGCACCTGAGAAGAGGAAACGCTTTTTGGCCTCTTGCAGATTTCAATTTACTCTTTACATTGAACTTGATGCCGGGGTGGAAGCCGGGTTTGCGTGGCTGGACAGTCCTCCCTTCTCCTGTCCTGACTCTCTCCTCTCCGTGCCTCCCCAAGGATGCTTCTCCTCCTCTGACATGGCGGTTTCCGTCTCTGTGGTTCACCCCACTTTTATGTGCACTCCCCTAACTTCTTTTCCACTCCTCTCCCCCTTCCTCTCTCCCCCTTCCTCTCTCCTCACTCCTTGCCCAGTCCTTCCTCCCCACCCTCCCTCACCCCCTCCCACTCCCCAGGACCTGCAGGAGTGAGCAGGGGCTTGTGGGCGGAGTCCTGGGCAGAGCCAACAGCTGCCTTCTGTCTGCAAGGTTGGCTCTCTTTGCAAATGAGCCAGTCAGGGTCAAGGGTCTCAGACATGCCCTTACAGCAGACACTGTCAGTCTCCTACATGCTTCCAGCCTACTCCTCTGCCCTCGTCCACCCAGGCCGGGGTGGGGTGGGGGAGGGGGGAGACAGGGTGGGAGGAAACCAACACAGGAAGCGGCTCTGTAGCTGCTCTTGGTATCTCAAGTGGAAGGTCCGGGGCAGAGACAAGAAACAGAGCTGCCAAACCTGTTTGAATGGGGATGTGTGCAATCTCTCCCTAGCCAGGCGAAGGCAGGCTGAACCCCCTAACAGAGCAGGTGTTGCTGACGTCATCCTTAGCCCACTGTCCTGATCCTCAGGCACCACCACTGGTCTTTGGTCTTAAGCAGGAGACAGAAGCTACGGCTCCCCATCCGAAATGCCCCAGAGGTAAAGCACCCACTGTGTGCCGGGGATCTCCCTATTCCCTGAGTCAGCCCGAGGGCTTCTGGGAATCACAGTGCACAGCCCAAGGGACTGGCTGACGAAGTTCACAGCTCACAGCTCACATCTACCTCTTCCCAGGCCTCAGTGTCTGTCTGTGACATGAGGGGACTGAGTTACATGATCCGAAAGGCCATCGGGGCACTTCCTGCAGGTTCAGGCTTCCGGGGCCGGAGAGAAGGCCCGAAAGAGCTTTCCAAGACAAACAGGCTGGAGTTTCCTTCTCGGCTGTCACCCACCACCGGGGCCTGTTTCCTCACCTGTAAAGGGGAACGACAGTGGCTCCTAATTCAGGGCTGTGGTGAGAAGTAAACGAGACGGACAATGCTCAGACTCTACCGCCGGCCTGGTGCAGCTCACAGGTCAGTATCTGCTAGCGATGACCTGCCAGCAACCGCAGGAGTGAATTTTAGCTCCAGTGGGTCAGGCCGATGACTAAGTCCCATGTGGTTGAAGGAACGTGTTGCCATTCCATCAGACGTGGGTTCCTTATTCAGAATGGGCAGATCAACTAAGAACTGGATGAGGCCCTAGCTGGATGCTCAGTCCCATGATGCACTGCACCAGCTACACCAGTCTGAGTCCCGTTTGGCTACTTCTGCAGGGCTGCTTGTCACTGTCCTCGGATCCATCCAGCCTCCAAAAGAAGACCATCGTTATGTCTGGGCGGCGTGGGAAAGGTGAAGGCCTCTGCCAGGGTTACCAGCCTCTCCAGACCCACTACTCTGTTCCATGCCTCTGACCTCCTCCACACTAGCAAGAGCCTCAGCTGAAATACACAACAGTCCCATTAACACTGCAGCCAGCACCCCCCCTCCCGCCCCAGCACCCCTGTCTTGATCGGACACTTCCAGACAGAGGTGAGGCTATTGAAGCTCTGGCAGGTCACATTCTCTTCTCCCCGAGGGCTAGAGGCAGAAGCCAGTAGGTCCATCTTCCTACTCCAGCACGACACCTGGGCCAGGCTGAGTGGCAGACACACTGGGATCTGGGCCAAACACGTGGGGAGAAATAGGCCATCTCTGGATGTTTCCTTTTTCCTCCAGAACAAGCCATATCTCTGACCATCCTGAGATGTTGATGTCAGTCTGGTCCCCAACCCCCTCTCTGAGAATGGCATCCAACTCATCCTGGGGAGTGTGCTTCCACGTGTCAGGACTGCGCTGGGAACCGCCCTCTCTGCAAAGCCTGGTTACCAACATAGCCTTTTTGTTCAACATGTCAAAACTGCATCCTAAGAGAGTAGGTGCTATAAAGTGATGGGAGGTTGTGTTTTGAGCATCTTCTTCATGTTGCAAGCATCTGCCGTGTTCTTCTCATAACAGTACCAAAGGAAAAAAGTAAAGGTTTGGGGGTCTAATTGTACCAAGGCTTTAAGATGATCTCCAGGGACCCCTCCCACCATTCACACGTGTAGTTAATTCCCCCTGAGGAAAGGCTGGGACCTGTGATGAGTTTCTAACCAATAGAAAGAAGTCAAAGAGGGATGTCACTTCTGCGATTAGGTTACAAAAGACTGTGACTGCCATCTTGCTGGTGGACTCTCTCTTGCTGGCCTTGATGAAGCAAGCTGCCACGTTGGAGAGGCCCACATGGTATGGGACTAAACGTGGCTTTCATCCAACAGCCAGCAAGGAACGAAGACTCTCAGTCCTACAGCCCCAAGGAACCAAATTCTCCCCACAACCACAAAAGGGGGCTTGGAAGAGAATCCTTCCCCAGTTGGGCCTTCAGATGAGCCCCCAGCCCTGGCGGACACCTTCATTGTAGCCTCTGTGAGCTACCTAAACACGAGGCCCAGGTAAGCCATGCTGGGATTCCTGATGCCCAGAAACTGAGATAACGAATGTGTGCTGTATTAAGCCACTAAGTTTTGTGGTAGTTTGTGTGCAGTAACAGATAACTAACACTAGTTAGCCAGGATCCGAATTGGGGCTCACCACCTGGAAACCAGATGGCCTCGGGTAGGTTTATTTTTCTGAACCTCCATTTCTCATCGATAACACAGGACAATTCAAAGGACTTTCATTCTCTTAGTCGTTACCCCAGTCTTTGCTGCTAAGAGATTGCACAGCACAGCAAAAGTCCTTATAACCAAAAACCACTCCTCTGAAGAGGTCTCCGTGCAAACATCCTTGACGATTTCACAGCAGCCTCTGTCCTCGCTGTGCCTGGTTTCGCAGGCCAGTCTCTGCCTCCCCCATCGGGTACAGCACCTAATAGTACAATATGAATCATCTGCAAAGTCGAAAGGCAGAGTTACAATAGATTCAGAGTTTCATAAAGTTGATGGATATGAGGATGGATAGCTGTGCTAAACATACCAAAGCCATTAACAAGGGACAATCCTCCTGGAACAACTAAAGACAAATCGATTGATGCTTCAAAGGATTAAAAGTATCAGACAATCTTCCTCCTGAATGTTGAGAAATGAAATGTGAGGTTCTCTTGTGTTATCATGTAATTTCGGCGTAGAAAATATATCCCCAAATTAGTCCTTGATTCAGTCTTTGTTCCTTCTAACAAGCAGAGCATTGTTGCAATTATAAGCTACATTTTGCCGCCTATGAGATAAACATTTGAATAACATTTTTTTTTTGGTGATAAAGTACTCATACTCTTCTCCACTGTTATGAAGTTTTGGTTCCCATTTTCAGCAGATTCTCTTTAAGTAGATGATTCCCCCTACCTGTGGAATAAAGGGGTTCTCTAACTCTACCTCATGGGATTCTTATCTGTGTAGGTGGGGGATCCCCATCCCCAGTGAGTGCTGGGGGTAGAGTCCTTATGCTATCTCGAGAAAAGGAATTTTCT